TTTAATTGGTAATACAGAAGACACTGCACACACTCTTATTGGTGACACTGAAGACACTGTGCATGCTGTGACATGCTATTGGTGACACTATACACATTTTGATTGGTGATCTTTGGTCTGGGCTGCATTACGTTTGTTCCGTCCGGCATTACAGTAAATATTTCCTAAAAGTTGTTTAAATTCCTCATCACTAATTGCCAGACTGATGACAGGTTCTCTGTCAACCCCGACAATTTCCCAATGGTGAGTCTGTTGCCTGTCTGAGAACTTCTCTCACATTTGAGCAAATTTGTGGGGGTTTGAAGAATTGGTCTTTGGGTCAAACCATGTCAACAACCTTTTCCATTGCAACTGAAATAGGCTTTTGCTGGAAGCAATTTGATGAGGTAGAGCTGACTCATAAAATCAGAACTTGAATGAGATATTAAATGCTGACTTGCTCCCCACCACTCCGACCCTCTCTTCAAAGAGCCATACTGTCTTGCTTGGTTTGGCAAGGCTTCCTTCACACTGCATCTGATAAGGTCAGATCCCCAATGCAGGCCTTGCCCTATATTCCTTGTTATCCCATCTCTATTTCCAGAACTAGTTCATATTTCTTTAGCTGTACAAACAGCTAGTTTAGTTAATGTGTTTGTAGGAAATAACTTTCCCTTGCAGGTTAGTTTAGCACTGGAAAAGGGAACCCAGAAAGGTGGTGAAATCTCCATTCTTGGAGAACTTTCCTAGACAAAGCGATGACTGACTTGGTCTTGTGTTGCCAATAACTATACTTCAGTGAAAGGCTGGACTAGATGGGATTCAGAGGTTAATTTCAGTTAACACTTCTGGTATAATATTCTACTGTCTGCAGTGGTGTTTCAGTGGGAGATATGTGAGTACTTACAGATGTTTACATTTAAATGGATTAAATATGTGACCATTGGTTGTTCTATGGTGCCTAATGGTCTCAGCAATCAGTATCCCTGCTACACAGTCACATTCTCTATGTTCTCTTAGGTTTTAATGTAACTGCTCTCATCTAACTGCAGTGTTTTACCATTGACAGACCTAATCCTTACTCTGAAGCCACCCATGTAGTCAAACTCTGCATTTGGTAGGAGCAGTAGTATTGTATGATAAGTCTGATTCTGGAAATAAACTGTAAATTCCTGTTCCTAATTTTATAATGAGTAATTTCTGGTGAAATAAAGGGAAAATTCTCCAAATGTAAGTGTCCCAGTATCTTAGTGCAATCTTGAGATGATCTAGTCCAACCTCCCTGTTCAAGCAAGGTCAGCTAGTGCAAGTTGCCCAGGAATAATAATAAGACATTTATAATAGTAAGAAATTAATTCTCCTAATATTTATTCTGTAGGTTTAAGTTGAATATTTATCATCCACCCCAAAATAAATTTACTCCACTTGCTCCTCATTGTAAATGAGTGACAACTTTAACAAAAACAATCTTTAAACTCATAAATTCAAATTGTAATATTTTCCTTAAAAGTCCATTACTTTCTATTAGTATTCTATCAGCATTTAAACTATAACATTTCATCTCTTTGCTTCTTTTGTTATCCCTCTACTTTCTTTTAAACTTTCTGATTCTATCAAACAAACTACAAAAAGCAAAAGGTTTTATTCGTGTGAACCTTTCAATAGAAACAAGAGGCTAATAGTTTTTCATAATGATACATTTTAAATTCAGATTTACAGTGGTGGCTTTTGGGACAGTTTTTTAAAGCTGTTGAGAGTTTAATATGTGTTTAACGAAATCCTGTCTACCTTCCTTATAACAACAGGGAAAGGGAAAAAACCTGATAAACATTTTTATTTACTTCCTAAGGAGGGGCTCAGTTTTGGAAAGACCACCCACCTGAAGGTAGCAATTACAGGGATGGAATGGAAGAGTTAAATCCTACAGGATTTATCATTGCTAAGACATCAGAAGAAGATACAGGTATGCTCTTGTTTTTAGAGCATGTTAGGTATTTTATTTTCTCAAACCTTAATAGTTAGATATACTATTGTCCACAGTGTGAGTGTAGTTTGTGACAGTAAAAAACCCAAACAAAACCACAGAAAACAAAACTGATAAAAAACCCCTCTATGAATTTAGGACATGTACTTCATTTTTTCCCCTCCTCTGACTTCCCTCAAGTTTTAACTATGATATTGTTATTAGGTTTGTATATTAGAAAGTTATAAAAGGAATGATCATGATTGTGCTTTAACAATTAACCTAAGAGCTTATGTTTTGTGCTCAACTTTGTTGATATTTCAGTTTTTCTTCTTTTTGAATGAAATTCTTGCACCATTGAAATCAATGCAACTGATTGCAAAAAATCAAAGATTTTACTTCTCTGCCTTAGTTTCTTCATCTATAAATTTGTCTATTTACTTTCACTCACTGTTCCAACATGGTGTAAAGTTTAATAAATTGCTTGAAGATTCTGTGGTGATACAAGATAATTAAACTATCAACTTCTACAGAATTGAATTTTTTAGATGGTGAGTTTTTTTACAGTCCCTATATTCCATTCTTATGCAGGTCACTTTAAAATGTAAATTAATACAAGTGAAAATAAATTTATAGTAAAACTGTCAGAGTTTTCTTACAGAATGATGCATACATTAGCAACAAAAGGAGGGTTAAGAAGAATATCCTTTATTGGATGCAGGCAGAAACATAGTGACAAAGGATGAGGTACTTAATGCCTTCTTTGCCTCAGTCTTTATTAATAACAGTTGTACACAGAGTACCCAGACTGCTGAGCTGGAAGACAGAGACAGGGAGCAGAATGAAGACCCCATAATCTAAGGGGAAAGGGTTAGAAACCTGCTACACCATTTAGACACACAAATCTATGGGGTGGATAGGATCCAACCAAGTATACTGGTGGCAGGTTCTGCTTGACTAACTTGATCTCCTTCTATGACAAGGTGACCCAGTGGGGATGTTGTTCACCTGGACTTTAGAAAAGCCTTTGATACCATTTCCCACAGCATTGTCCAGGAGAAACTGTCTGGACAGGTATATTCTTCGCTGGGTAAAAATCTGGCTAGATGGCCAGGCCCAAAGACTTGTGGTGAATAGCGATAAATCCAGTTGGTGACCAGTCACTAGTGGAGTTCCCCAGGGCTCAGTACTGGCAACAGTTCTGTTTAATGTCTTTATCAATGGTCTAAATGATGGAATTGGGTGCACCTTCAGTAAGTCAGCAGACAACACCAAGTTGGGGAGGAGTGTTGATCTACTTGAGGGTAGGAAGGCTCTACAGAGGGATCTGAACAGGCTGGATAGATGGGCCAAGGCCAATTGTATGAGGTTCAACAAGGCCAACTGCCAGGTCCTGCACTTGGGTCATAACTCCATGCAATGCTATAGGCCTGGGGAAGAGTGGTTGGAAAGTTGCCCAAAGGAAAAGGATGTGGGGGTATTGGTCGACAGCCAGATGAATGTGAGCCAACAGTGTGCCCAGGTGGGCAAGAAGGCCAATGACATCTTGGTTTGTATCAGAAATACTGTGGTCAGCAGGACTAGGGAAGTGATCATCCCTTTGTACTCTGCACTGGTAAGGCTGCACCTTGAATACTGTGCTCAGTTTTGGACCTCTCACTGCAAGAAAAACATTGAGGTGCTGGAGCACATCCAAAGAAGAGTAACAAAGTTGATGAAGGATCTGGAACATAAGTCCTATGAGGAGTAGCGTAAGGTAATGAGTTCTTTTAGTCTGGAGAATAGAAGGCTCAGGGAAGACCTTATTGCTCTCTACAGGTATTTGAAAGGAGATGTCAGTCTCTTGTCCTATATAACAATCAACAGAATAAGAGGAAACAGACTCAAATTGAGCCAGGGAAGGTTCATGTTGGTTATTAGGAAAAAATTCTTCACTGAAAGAGTTATCAAGCATTGGAACAGGCTGCCCAGGGAAGTGTTAGTCACCATCCCTGGGGGTATTTAAAAGATGTGCAGATGTGACACTTAGGGACATGCTTTAGTGGTGGACTTAGTAGAGTTAGGTTAACAGTTGGACTTGATAATCTTCGAGACCTTTTCCAACTTAAAAACTTCTATGATTCTATGGCTCAGTAACATCAGAATCTGCAAGATTCACTTAGATTTTGTTCTCTAGAAGCCTGTTTGGTGGTGAAACTCTTGTTTTCAGGAGGTAGCTCCTTAAAAAAACTTCCATAGGTATCTAATCAGGACTGCCTTAGAGTTTTCAAATAATAAAGAAGTAGAGTTAATTCCTGGTTCTGAACTCAATTTGTTCTGACTCTGTATTAACCGCATCATGTCAGATTAGCAGTTCTTCAGAATTGTATCAAACCACACAGAATTTTACAGTATCAGGAAACCCTTGCAAACAGAACCGTATGCTTCACTTATTTACATTTCCTCTATCATGCAAAATGCTTTGCAGGAGCAATTAAACAAGGCTTAAGTAAAGGCTAACTCGATGTTAGAAACAACTTTACCATTTGTAAGATTTTATGTCATAAGTTTTTGATTTGGGCAATGAGTAAATTCTAAATTTACCTGGAACTATTTTAACTCTGATCTCTTTCAAAAAATTAAGGTTTACTTGCATTTAAAGTTCAGGAAGCTCATATAAAATAAATAAGGTTGTTAAAACTTGGTTATTATGTCTTGTTGTACACTTATCTATGCCTTGAACCACATGCATTTCAGTACCCATGAATTTATTGGCTGATCAGAACTGTGCATAGTCAGTATTTACAACAGTACCTGTTACAGGTATGGTGTTCATGACCTGTGTTCTCAAGAATCATGTTTGTGTCGTTGAGTTTGCAAAGGAAATTGCCTGCATATTTAATATACCTCTTACCTATGAATTGTAAAGGAATCAGTTAAATCTCACATTTTGGTAAGAAGGTGGAAAATGTGAAATGGATCTGTTTATCAAATAAAATGGAATTGCATGTCTTGATTTAAAAAAAAAATAAAATATTTCACAACTGCATACATTTATCTCTCTTTTTTTAAATTCCAGAATCGAATGGAAGAAAGCAAAGCACTCTTTAGGACAATTATCACATATCCATGGTTCCAGAATTCTTCAGTTATTCTGTTCTTAAATAAAAAAGATCTCTTAGAGGAGAAAATTATGTACTCCCATTTAGTTGATTATTTTCCAGAGTATGATGGTAAGTATATTGCCACCAGAGTTCATGCCTCATTTAAACTGCAGTAATGACAAAATGTAATAGTCTTGCCCTTACTTTGCTTAGAGGTTCTTAGGACAAAGATAATCACCCTTTCTTCATTACACTAATTTTCTTCTTTACAAATTGTACTTAGTACACCAAATGGTTAGTTTGTAGTTGAATGACTTACTGTTCATGTTTTTTTAAAAATTATATAAAAAGTAAAAAATTAATAAAATGGCAATTGTTAATTCTCCAAATTTTTAAAGTCACTGAAGTCTTGTGAAACTTTTTAGATTTTTCAGGATTTCATCTTGTACCTCCATTAATAGTGGATAAGATGGCAGTACCTTTCATGTGAAATTATTGATTCTAAATGAGTAACATAATATTAGCAATGGACCTTATTCTGTCCTTGTTCATAAGTTGGGGTGAGGATTTGAACTGAAGTATAAAGCTAAAATTATATAAAAATACATTTCTTATTCTACACATTATTTTTGTTTTCTACACATTAATTTTTGTTTTGTTTTGTGCTTGTTTGTGCTTTGCTGCTTTTTTGTTTAAGGTTGGATATCTGAAGAGAAGTATCATAAATTCTCTGTGACTGTCAAAGGAACCAGTATCATTCTGCCCACCCTTTCATTGTACCATTTCTTTATTGTTTCCATTATTTTAATTTTATGTTACTTATGTGAAGTTTAATGGGCTTGTCCCAGAAAACGTTACATGGAACAAACAGCTGTTTCTAAGGAAGCTGTACTTACAGAAAGTGCTTCTGAGGTGAAAAGTTAGGTATTCTAAGGTAATTGAGTGGAGGTTTTGGTAACAGAGAATAAAATCAAATTCATATAATAATATCTCTTTTGTCTCACCAGAGAGTGAAAAGCAGATTCAGAAGCTACAAAAAAAGATTAAACCTCTCATTTTCAAAACTAGATAGTGATAAAAGAAAAAAGTTTCAGGTTTTTCCTGTTTGAGAGGAAAGGATGTGTTCACAGTGAACAACCTGAAGGATCAGACCATACTTATTTATGAGTCAGTGTAAGTTTAGTTTGATAGTACTAAACAGAAGAGAAGTGACAGTTTGAATAGAATATATTCTTGTCTTTTCAAGTTACAAGTGTGACAGGTGCCTTAGATGACATCCTGCAGGTGAGAAGGCTGTATGGGTCCTTCTATTATGAGCACTAAAGTGGAGATACACGTGTGTTAAATGCTTGTCCAGAAAAAAACAGACAAAATTCATACAAAATTGAGGTTGGAAGGGACCCCTGAAGATCATCTAGTCCAACCCCCCTGCTCAAACAAGGTCACCTAGTGCTGTTTCCCAGGAATATGTCCAGATAGCTTTTGAATATCTACAACCTCTCTGGGCAACCTGTCTCAGTGCTCAATCACCCTCACAGTAAAAAAGGGTTTTCTGATGTTTAGATGGAACCTCCTGTGTTTCATCTTGTTCCCATTGCTTCTTGTCCTGTAACTGGGCACCATCAACAAGAGCTTGGCTCCATCTTCTTTGCACCCTCCCTTCAGGTATTTGTACACATTGATGAGATCTCCATCTGAGCCTTCTCTAGGTTAAACAGTCCCAGGTTCCTCAGCATTTCCTCCAGTCCCTTAATCATCTTAGTGACCCTTGGTTGGACTTTCTCCAGTATGTCCGCATCTTCTTGTACTGAGGAGCCCAGAACTGGACATAGAACTCCAGGTGTGGCCTCACCAGTGCTGATTAGAGGGAAAGGATCACCTCCCTTGACCTGCTGTCAACATTCCTCCTAATGCAACCCAGGATACCATTAGCCTTCTTTGTGTCAAGGGCACATTGCTGGCTCCTGTTCAACCTAGTATCCACTAGGACCCTCAGGTCCTTTTCTGCCAAACTGCTTTCTAGTTGGGTGGTCCCAGAATATATTGGTGCCTGGGCTTGTTACTCTTGAGGTGCAGGACTTGGCACTTCCCCTTGTTGAACTTCATGAGATTCCTGTCAGCCCATTTGTTCAGCCTGTTGAGGTCCCTCTGGATGTAGCCACTCCACTCTGTTTTGTGTCACCAACAAACACACTGAAGGTACACTCTGCTCCCTTATCCAGATCATTAAAGAAGACGTTAAACAGGACTGGATGCAGTATTGACCACTGGGGTACCCCACTAGTTACTGTCCTCCAACTAGACTTTGTGCAACACTGATCACCAGACATTCAGTCAGTTTTCAGTCCCACTCAGTCTGCCATCCAGTGCATACTTCATCAGCTTCCCTATGAAGATCTTATGTGAGACAATGTCAAAAACCTTACTGAAGTCCAAGTAGACAATATCCACTGCTCTCCCCTCATCAACCAGGCCAGTTATTTCATCATAGAAAGTTGTCAGGTTTTCAATCAGTCAGCTCAGAGAAACCCTCTTTCTCTTCTCCTTTGCCATGGGTAAAGGAAACAAAAAAAGGTTATGGACAAGTAGGGTCATAAACAGTAAGCCAGACCTGAAAGTCTTTCAGTGTCTTACTCTAATTCTGCAGATCTTGCTGGACTTAACCCCTTAGACAAGGTTATGGTTTGATTTGATTTCTTTTGGTGGAAAGATGGGGTGGGTGACTGCTGTGGTTTACCCCCAGCTGGCAACTAAGTATCATGTAGCTGCTTGCTCACTCCTCCCTTCCTGGGGAGAAGAATCAGAAAAAAACTAAACCCCATGATTTGAGATAAAAACAGTTAAATAATTAAAATAAAGTAAAATATAGTAATAATACTAACAATAATAATAATAGTAATGAAAAGGACAGAGAATAATAACAATTGATGCACAATAAAAGAAATTAATGCACAATATAATTGCTCACCACCCAATGACCAATGCCCAACCCATCCCCAAGCAATGATTGGCCCCTTCTGGCTAACTTCCTCCAGTTTATATACTGGACATGGCAGTCTATGACATGGACTATTCCTTTGTCCAGTTCGGGTCAACTGTATTGACTGTGCTCCCTCCCAGCTTCTTGTGCAGCTCCTCACTGGCAGAACATGAGACACTGAAAAGTCCTTGACTCACTGCTCAACAATGACCAAAACATCAGCGTGTTATCAGCATTATTCTCATACTAAATTCAAAATGCAGCACTGTATCAACTACTGTAAGAAAATGAACTCTATCCCAACCAAAACCAAGACAGTTATACAGTCTTTGGGTTGCACAGGTCACTGTGTGGTCCTGTCTGCTGTTCCAACACCCTGTTTGGAGATGTTGAAGATGGACACATTTGGAGAACTGATCAGAATTAGGTATTTTTTAGATGGATCACTTTTCCCATGTGGGCAGTAAAATGGAGAAAGTCGCATAGGGATGAGAAATGGTAACCAGGATGGCAAGCTGGACTGATTGGCAAGTTGTACTGCACAATGTCATAACATTGGATGAGAGATTGAAATGTGCTCAAGGGTCAGAGTACCACATGAAGGTATACTTTCACAGATCATACTAAAAGACCGTCTCAAAGACTGGAATAAAGTGCTGGGAGGGGGAAAAAGACAAAAAGGGACCATGTTTGTGAAGGAAAGAAGAAAATATCTATCCACAGGAGCACACTCCCCTCCAGTCTTCAAAGAAAATAAATGATTATGCTTACCAAGCTAATGTAGGCAAGCTAAATTGTAGTACTTTTTATATAGGACTTGACTATCATATAGAGAGACCCTTTTAAGACTCCTAAATAGGGAGTAATGGACAAGAAACCTACTAATTTGTATTAATTCTTTTCCAAGATTATTTAGATCATAACCACTTAGCATTCTAAATCTAGCATTAGTTCATTCCCTTTTTCTAGATACCTGAGGTGGAAAATTTTCTTTTTAATTTTAGTTTTCCATACTTGAATTCCAGTCAGAAAAAAATTAAATTACATTATAATAAGCAGACATGTTATTAGGCAAGCAAAATTTGGATACAGGCTTTGAATAGTGCAGTAGATTTTGAGAGGGACAATCCTGCCTGTGCCTACCCACTGTAAAACTGTTTAACAAAATTCTAGGAAGTTGATTAAAACAATAAATGGCTTATTTTGAAGAAATCATTGTCTTCGAAAGTCTAGGAGTCTCCTTTACAAATATTTAAACTTATTAAGAGTAAAAAAAAATAGTAGGGAAATTTAGCTTTACTGCTGTTTCTATAGAATATGTGATGAAGCTAAAGGTTAGAATCTGTTGTGTTTAGAAATTTAAAACATTTTGAAGTCCTCTTTGTCCTAGTTCAGAGAACTTATTATCTGTTTACATGTTCTTTACATCTCAGTGTGTGAACCAAATATATGCAGGCAACCAAGACGACCACAATCTACAGCTGAAGTGCGAAGAGTAGATTTATTCCATCACCTTGCTGGCAAACGGGGACACATATGCTGCTAAGCTTAGTCCATTTTAGCAGGGGCAAAAAGCATGCAGGGCTGTTCCTGACCTCAACATAACAAAGGACCTGGTGCATGCGCAATGCTTCACAAGACTGTGATCTCCTCCGTGCTTTTTATGATCTCTCTCTCTCCCAACAGGAGGCTCAAGCCTGTCTGTGAAAGATGCCTCAAGTTTCTGATAGCTTTTATGTTATCTCTACAGAAGTTCTGCTTCTCAAAACAGGCAGAGGGTAATCAACAGTAAATATGTGAAGTTTCCCACACTGCTACAAGGTCATCTCGATCAAAAACAGTTCTATTTTTCTCTCCTTGACAAATCTTACACTTTTCAACCCTTTCCTCCCCACACTCAGAAAATGTGTAGTCTGTGTATGTGTCTATATACACACATACATATTCATGTACATACACCAAGATATTGTAGAATCATGTTCTCCTTCCACAAGGCTTTGCAACTAGTAAATATCAGAAAGCATTTTATCTTCTGTGCTTCCTTTGCTGCCTAATTTGTGCATTTATGCAAATTAGAAATGCTTAAAATTGTATTTAAATATTAAAAATAAGTTTTATTTTGCAGTCATTCAAAGTTATGTGGGCACATACTAACCCCTTAAGTACAGATTTCATAACCAATGAAGGACAGAACTATATAACAACTGAACCCTGGTATTTATATTGTCATGTAACAAGACCAGGACCAATGAGGAGATAGGAGGTGGCGGCACAGCAAACATACATGTTCTGTAGAAACCCACATTGCAGAAACAGGAGGACAAGGGAATAATGGCATATGAAATTTGCACTGGAACAGTATATGTATATACAGTATAGGAAAAAAATAACTTGTGACTAATGTTCCTGCTTCTGTGCTGCTCTTTTTGCTGTGAACATGAACAAATCCTCACTCATAGATTGGAAGTCATTATTTTGCCTTCTGCCTTGTGCAAAGCAGAACATGCAGTTTGGTTACATAGACTTTGTGTTCTTCTGAGAATTACAGAGTTTTTTGAAATTTAATTAGATTGTTATGTATAATTTAGATAATTGATTTGTTAGAACAATAATTTTTTGCAATTGAACAGCTTTAACTAGCAAGCATGTATATTTTACCATCACTAAAGTAAATTAAATTCTGTTGGGGACAGTGTCAGACCAGGTTAAGATGTAACTTGATTATGCTACATTTTAAAAGAACGTACTTAAGTATAGTTTAAATACAGGAGACATAGACTGAAAATGGGTCAAATCTATTAATTTTTAATATATTTATGAGTATAAAGCAACTAATTCTTCTGTTGTTCATTTTGTGGGATTATAGATCATCGATTTCATCTCTCCATTTTAAACATCTTATGGAAGAAAGATGATAGTCAGAAGGAAAAGAACAACTCTTGTATGATCAACTTCTGCAATTTCCTTCCATTTTTATTTTTTAATGGTTCCTATTGGGAAAAAATAGTATATGGTAGTATTTATTAGTAAAATTTTTCTCTTCCTCTCTTATACAAGGATTGCAGACTGAGTTTTCTGTTTTCTGCTCCTGAGGTTCCCCTCCAAAATAGGCTCAAATATTGAATTGACTTTAGGAGAAACTGACTTTTTCTTCTTCATTATCAGGACCACAACGGGATGCACAAGCGGCAAGAGAGTTCATCTTGAAGATGTTTGTAGACCTGAATCCAGACAGTGACAAAATTATCTATTCCCACTTCACTTGTGCTACAGACACAGAGAATATACGCTTCGTCTTTGCTGCTGTCAAGGACACAATTCTACAGTTAAACCTGAAGGAGTACAACCTGGTCTAACTGTGCCTAAGAGGCCCTCCAAGACCACCTTTGCGTGATTGAAGATATACAAGAGGGACTGCATTATCTGTGAAAACAAATTGCATAATACTAATTTATTGCCGGCCGGCACTCTGTGAATGTTCACAGAGTTTTTAGTTAATATTATGATTTTATTTAAACTATATGGCAGAAAACCAAAAGATGCTGAAGTACATTCACAGTACATTTTCTTATTTTTTAGGCAAAATCTTGTGACTCAGTGGTTTTTAAATTCTCAGTCATACACTCACAAAGGATAACAGGTTTTTGCTATTGAAGCAAAATCAAGCTGGTTTCCTTTTTTGTCCCCCCCTTATGTTTTTAAAGATACAGTGGCTGTTTTACTAGTTGCATTCCTTGATAAAATATTTTCTGTTGAGTGATTTGGTCAGGAAAATTGCTATCATCAGAACTGAAGTTATCAGTCATTCAAATTCTACAGAATGTGCTTTCTCTGAAGGATCAAAAGTACTGATAGTGTGATTTTTTAAATTCTTAAAATGAATGTTCTCATTCTGTCTTCACTTCTGAGACTAGAATATTGGGAACTGAAAAATAGAAATAGTTGTGTATGAATTTAGAATTTAAATATACTTTCACAGTTCAGAAAGATGCATAGAAGACAGTAATGAAAGACACAAAGCTGGGATGTTCATGGAATATCATAGAATCTCTTTTTAATTGCTATGTGCCATTATTATCTCTTTTCTTTATTCACAAATGTCAAACAGAAATGTCATGGACACTACACTTTCCCCAGTGTCTAGAGCCTGAAACAGGGGTGGGGTTTTATTTTTCAGTTGTGTGCACTTTTTTTTAAGTTAGAGTTTTTTTAAAGTGTGTTTTTCCACAGTAGAAAAAATATTTTTTGTTGTATAAAATCTTGCCAAATCTGACTTTTTATAAAATAAATACTTTCGAAACATAGGATACCAATGGAAATGCCAAACTAATGAATTGGGAACTGACCTGACTGAGTCAACTGCCAAATGATAAATAAGCATAGTTTCAGCTCATATATTCCCATTTTTAGAAAGTGTTCCATTTTCTAATGCCAAAAACAACAGTGTGAGTGAATATGCTACTTGGTATACATGTATAGAAGACAGTTTAATTTTCTTCTTATGTCAGAGATGGCATGAGATTTCATACAATGTTTTCTCTAATAATATCAAAGCACCTTTGTACAGCATGAAATTATTGATGAATGATCACATTAAGAAACCTTTCTTCATAAGGTTGTCTCAACTGATTCACAGACATTTGATAGGTTTCATGCAAAATAGCCTTTCTTGATGTTCTTAAGAAGGATTTCTTAATGTAAATCACTCTTGAAATTTAAACATGCAAATTTTTACTAACAAAAATGCAGCACACATCAATGAGCAGCTTAGGTTGAAAGGTATTTTTTTAACCAGGTGCATGATTGCTAGCAAGCTACAGAGAACTCTGAAGTCAGACATAATGGATTACTTACAACACCAAGTAGCAACAGGGTGCACTTAGCACAGAAATTGCTGCCTCTCAGCAGCAGAGGTGGAAAAATAATGGTTCGTTACTTGAGTAACAAAGTTAACAATAAATACTAATGAGGTGTTTTTCATCCTTAACCCTCCCAACAACAATAAGAATAGTTGCTATTTTTGTTCCCTCATAAAACACCTTATAATTGAAAACCGATTGTAGGTATAATGCAATTATGAATGCTATAGTCATTGTACATACATATATATATATGTCAGCATCCATACTGGCTTTGTAATCATTAATTTTTTGCAAATTGAATGTGTTGTGTTAATATGTATCTATGTAATTGTATCGTATGTCTTACAGCTAATTCACATTTGAAATAATGTTATTTCATTTACTTTTTTAAAAGAAGAATGTAAATGTTTTTCAGTTTATTCCTGACTAGATATTTGTTGTTTTTATTTAAAAAGAAAAAAAAAAAGTACAACATCATGCTATATAAAATCATTTGTACATTCCTTAGTAAAAGTAAATTGGAGACACACAGAGGACATTCACAATCAAAACAATGTTTAAATCTTGTCAGGGATTTATATGGATATAGAAGTTGTTTTTGTTGGAGGAATTTATACCATTATATCTAGGATTAGAATATAAACTCTTAAATATGAATTTGTATTTGGTAGATTCAACTTCAGTTAATTTTACCTTTCTAATAACCTTTCTTAGAAAAGTGAATTTAGAAACATTTCAAACCACTGAACTTAAGTACTAATGGGTATATGCTGTTTCCCTAAAAATATAAAGAAAAAATGCAAAACATCAGATCAGTTAAACACTATTTCAGAAATTACAGAAACCTTAACTCTAACAATAACAAAGTCACTAGTGTTAAAAATTTTAAGGAGTTAAAGAATTTTTTTTAATACAACTAAAGCAGGTAGTGGAAGGTTATAAAAAGTGACACTGACATTCTAAATGCATCATCAGAACAGCTATTCTTGTTATATATGTAATTATAACATTGGTCCTGATCTTGCTTATAAACATAACAAATCTTCTGTTTCCACCGTTGACTCTGGAGGGTGTGATAATATCCCTTCTTTCAACCTGTGAATACATTGACCACCTCGGATTTAGTGATATAAATAGAACTGTAGGAGGGGGAAAAAAAACCAGTGTTGCCTAATTAAGGTTTGGGTTTGTTTTGTTATTGGATATTGGGGGGGGTGGGTGTATGGGGTTTTAAGTTTTAATATAAAAAAGTTTTGTATAAAAACAAACCAAAAGTTTACTCATGCTTTATAGATATACTGTGATTGCAAAATTCAAGAGTGTGTGCCACTGGACTACTTCTGGTATATTTTGAGTTGAACCTGTGGCAATGTTTAGATAGTTTGTGCATATTCTGAAAAAAATATCTAGTCAGCATACTAATGCAAGCTTTACATGATTCACCTAACACAGTATTGCAGTGTGACAGTGTTTACAAAAGCATTTCCTTTTAAAATGACAGGTGTTCTCATTTGTAATATATTCCATTGCTGTTGCTGTTTTAATTGGGGATTTCCACTACACCCTATAGTGCTTGAGTCCAGAAGTATGTACTCTAACATGAAGTTGAAGGCAAAATAAGACAGAAACCTTTCTAACTTTGCAAAATTACATTATTTCATTGAATGTCATAAATGGGAGAGGAGAGGAGGAAACCATCTTGGGAAACTGTGTATTCTAGGTGTTCACTAGTACAAGAAAGCTGTAATATGTGTTTTACAGAAACCTTAAACTTGTTTTTTTCACTGAGTAGCTGGCACCTTCTTGACATACATAGGATGATGAAACTATAAGGGCACTCTTATAATTCAGACTCTTGAGTTTCAAAGTGTATGAACTGTAATTTTAAATCATACTGTCACATGATTGCGAAACACTTTTTAAATTTTGAAAGTGGAGAAGAGGTTTTTATGCTGACTATCAGTCAAAACTGACTGCATGATTTGCAAAAACTTTAAAAGGGGGTAAAAGGGCTGCATATGAAGATATTGCTAGACTCCAATTTTTGGTTATAAGATACAAAAGACTCAGATTCCTCAACCTAATGGCTCTTATGTTGTTATGCATTCTTCACAAAATAATGAAATAATAGGAGAAAACAAAGACATGTTAACCCATATGGAAAAAACATAATGCCCAAATAATTTATTATATGTGCTGCTGTTAATGAAGGTCTGCGCATGGTTATCCTGAATTACATTAGTAAACTAATGAAGTGTGCACAGTATATTAACAAGACCTACAAATTACCCACCTTTAGTTAAGAAATCAATTAATTAAATATGTTTTGGAGAGTCACAAGTGAGGAAATTAAAATGACCTGTTGTAGATATTTAATGGTTATTTTAGACATTCACACTTTAGCAGATACAGTCCCTCTATGGACATAAACAAGTAAGGTCATAAGTCCAATTTGTTAGTTTAGTAGGTATCATGAAAAACAATGTGTTTGAAAAGAACCACTGATAACTACTCTTTTTTTTTTGTTTTACTTGGTTTTTATTTACCATTTTATTTATCAGTCAAACATTTCCATGTAATCAGTAATCCATCAAGGGTCATTATTTATCTAGTTACAGGGATTTTACTGTAACTTTCACTCAAGTTTTTTTACAGTAGTCATGTTGCAGAAAAGAAAATAATAGAAGAGTTATTTGGGCAAAGCTGATGTTGAAAGTAGTGTCAAAAATGCAAGAGAATTCAACCAGATCAATTTTATTCTTGGGATTGCTGGTTTTGTGGTGGTGGGGTTTTTTTCTATCAAAAGATGGTCTAAACTGGTCTATTGGTGGATTTCTTATTTATCATGCTGCAGGAAATCTTTATTTTGACAATATAATGGAGGGGGTGTCATACATTTTTTTAATTTGCAGTGTTTAATAAAATAAAGATCATATTTGTAATTCTAAAGTGTCATTTAAATGCATGTATTGTCTATTGTTTTGGGGACAAAAATAGGGTGTGTTTTTTTGGTTTTCTGTTGAAAAAATTAATGCATAAATGTTGGTCCTCAGAAATTGTGCTGGTTAAAAATACAGTACTTTTCACCATAACTTTGTACTATAGTATCTTCATTCCTTGACATTTAGCTTTTCTGGAATGTATTTGGGCTTCTTGTTCTCCCAAAATATTTCTTATGATAAATATCAAATAGATGTATTATTCCAATAATTAGTTTTTAAATTATACATGCTCTGTTCTTATTGTCTATATATTAACATTTCCTGAATATTTTTATTACAGTTAGAAAGTTCAAAACATTTAAGGTTCAGTACAGTGAATACAGTTAGTTGACATTATTACTAAAAGTTTTTTTGGTTTGTGTACAACAGAAACTCAGAAACATGGGGAAAAATAAATAATAATCTATGTCTTTATTAATAGAAAACTTTCAGAATTTGTAGGCTGTTAAGTGAATTTCTTAAGTATTTTGCATGATTACAGTAGTACTGCAA